AGCAGGAATAGACATAAGACCTTTTCACTCCAAACATGCTGATGACTTAACTGACTTGAGCCAAATGAGCTTTTGCTTTTCTCTTTGTTGTTGTCACTGTTGCTATTTTGTTGCTCCTAGGAGCTCTGCTGTCAAGCGACCGAGATGAACTGTTCTGGTTGTGCTGAGCTAGTGCTAGAAAAATCTAGGTCTTGGGTTTCTTCCCTGTGGAGGGATGTTCCTGACAGACTGGACACAGAGAGCAGACGGTTAAGGACAGGACCCTCTGTCTTCCTCTTGGCTTTCCCCATCATGAATAAATCATGGCAGAATTCACACTGTCTGCAAATGATCCTGTTTGGGAAACCCAGCCCTGATAAGGGACTGTCACTGGTGCAAAGGGAGAGGGCTGAGTGCATCGGGATGACTTCAGCATATAGGCAGTGACAGTGATGCCCTACAACATCATTAAAGACTAGCAGCCAAGCAGCAATCACTGACTCATTCCCTAAATGCTGGTGCAGTCAATGGAATGAAAAACTAAACAGGATAAACCCATTGCAGAGACGGAGGATGCACAGATTGCTGCACTGGCTCAGCCTGGCACCTCCACAGTGCCCTGCCAGCGAGAGAGTCGGAGGCTTCAGAAGAAAATGCAAGAAACCTTCAGAGGAAACAGAAACAGACGAGTTTGCCCAGAGAGGATATGCCATTATGGCTTGGTTGTGAATTAGTGATTGGCGATTGCTCTGAAATATGAAAGACTGAAAAGAATGAAAATACATCCTCTTAACGTAAGATTTGAGGTAGCTGTGCCTCTTCCTGTGATCCTAATGTAGGTCAGCACTGCTGTCAGGAAAGGTGGGAACATCTTTTGGTCGACTCTCCCTAGTGGCCTGCCATCCATATCCTGCACAGGGCTCCCCTGAAATTTGAAGCATCTCCTAGACATACAGGAGATACCAAGAAAAGGAGAGCATCTTGCAATAATCCATCTGCATCAAAAGGACGTATCTGATACTGAGTGCGTAATTTGAGCACACCTGAAAATTCAGCTTGAACTATATGGGAAAGAGAGGAAGTGAGGCACGGGACTGCTGTCCGGGGCAGGGCATGATCACGAAAGTGAAAAAGGGTATTGCAGAGAGGAAGGCAGATGAGGACGAAGGGGAGGGCAGGAAGGATGAGATGGAATTGTAAAGGGGAAATACCAAGGGTGAGACTAGGGACTGAGGGGGGTGCCAGCGGTCTGGGGATATCTGTTAACTCCTTATTTTCCCCCTCTGTACCTTGCTTTTCCCAAAACATAAGGATATGTTTATACTTAAGCCTGCCTTAATGACTTCACAGAATAGCGATGGAGTAAAGAGCTAGGCTGAAGTGGACCCGGAGTCCTAGTACCATTTGCCCTGATGAAAATGGGCTACTCTCATTTATTATTTCCCCTTAACTGGTGTCCAAGTAATGACTGCTTTTCTCACTCAGAATAACTTAAATTCCTTCATCCTCTACTCTGGGGATTTTTGGTAGATTGGTAGATTTTGGAGAGGCCTGGCCTGGCCTGGCCTGCAAGCTGTGCTGCCCTGTCCCGCTTTGCGCATTCAGGTGTTTCTTCATATTTTTCTAAATATTGTTGAAATTAATTTCCCTTACTTCAAGGAATTTTAGTTCCAGTACAGAACCAGCTCTTGCTGCTTCCCGGTGTTTTGTCTTTTTTTCAATAGCTGTAACGCTTGCTCTTCTCCATGCCTTTTGTATAGTACTGGATTAAAGTGAAAGTCTTTTTGTTAGCAGCTTAACCACTTCATCCTTAAGCTCCTTTGCACCTCTGAGATGAATGATAAGTGAAAGTTGGTGGCAAGCAGGCTCGTTAGTCTCCCTGGAATCAGGGAAAGGTGCTTTTGGTGGGAGCAATCTGGGCAGCTAATTGCCTGAAGTGCTTGCTTAGGCACATAGTTGTGGCCTCTCTATTTAAAAGCTAGAGACAGGAGTATCCTGAGAGTAATTCAGGCTCTAGGCAGGCTGAATTGTGTTCTGGAAGTGCCCATCTCTTCCCATTGACAGGAGACAAAGGCCAGATGACTGCTCTAAAGTTTGGTGCTTCTGCATGGGGCCTGAGTTAGGTCTTTACTACATAAACTGGTGGTAGGATCACATCCTGATTTATCGCTCTGATCTAGTATCTGTGGGTTTGATATCCTGATCTCTGACGGTGTCATTACAGCCTGGAAAGAAGTAGTTGAGCAAAGGTAACTGCCAAAGAGTCCCTACGCTCTCTCCTTGTGCCCTCCTCCTAATTTCTGCCTTACTCTTCTGCCTGTCATACTTTCTGTTCTTTTCTCTTGGCTTTCCTTGTTTTGGGTTTCCATGTCTGGAAGAAACTTCTTAGCTTGAGTAAAACCTGGAGCTTTGTTGCATAACCAGATCTGCTCTTCCTCCTTTCTGTTTGGATCATAGGCCTTTTTGACAGGAAGCTTATCATCCTTCGTATTAATACACTGCCCTGCACATTAGTGTTGCCACTCACATTCAAGGTAATTCAAGGTTTAGCATTCACACATCTTGGGCTGGAGAGAGAATCCTATGTGCAGACAACCTTCTTCAAACTACTGTGCACAAAATGAGTCTTTATTGCTGTGCAGGTGTTTTGGGAATGGCCTGACCTCTAGTTATTCTACTTGTCATTACTGCAGAGAGAGAAATAAATTCATGCTGCTATCCTCACCTTTCTGAGATTTTTCCTTCCCAGGAAGAGATTCCATTTGTGTCCCTGACTAATGTACATCACCAACCAGACTCAGCTGTCCTGTTTTCTGTTCAAATATCCCTGTCTTTTCCTTTGCTTTTGCTATTTGCTTTTGCTATCTGCTCCAGAGCAGGTCTTTGTGATGCACAGATTTAGACTGTCTTAATGATCCATATTGCTGTTAATGAACACTTTTAGAGAGATATTTTATATGTTGCCCTTATGGTCCACAGAAAACAGAGCTGTGGACCTGTACAATGGCTGTCCCCACTGGGTGTTATGGGATAATGATCACACCATGGAGAGTGGGGTCAGGAACTCACCTTCTGTCTCAGGCAAGCCACTGCAGTCTTTGTTAGTTCAGAGAGTCCCCGCTGTCCTTGTCCTTGCTCTCCTCAGGCTGGTCCCCTTCACTGGACTGTGATTTTGCTGTGTCCTGCTCAGACACAACAGTCTTATTGGAGCTGTCCTCCCTTGAGAGCAAAGGCTCTCCTCTGTGCTCAGCTCCTTCAGTGTCTTCACCACCTTTCAGTGCAAGTGTTTGCCCCTCAAGGGCAGTGTTTTGGGTCACTTCCTCCCCTCTTTTGCTCACCAGCTGTCCTCGACCTGCCTCCCATCTGCCTGCTGCTGCTGTGTCCAGCTTTCCTCCATGGCTATTCGAAGAGTCCTCAGTGGATTCCCATTCTGAAGCTGCGCTTTTCTCTAAGTCAGCTCCAAGGGGCAAGGACATGGTCTCCTCACTGCTGTACCTGGTGGCTTGTACAGCGCTTGGAAGACTGTTCTGTGGAGTGCTGCTGTTTGTGCTCTCCTTCTCCTGGGGGATGTCAGCAGTGCCAGGCTTCTCACTGGCATCTTCCCCAATGCTTTCCTTACTCAACTTGGTCCCTGGCTCTGTGTCACCAGTGGTGGCCACAGGTACCTCCCTGCTTAGGCCCTTCGCTGCTTTCAGTTCCTCCTTCTGGCCATTGTGGGCAGATGAGACCTTCCCACTTTGCAGCCCTTGTGATGAGGAGGCCCCATGATCTGGGAGGCTTGGCTGCTTCACCTTCTCCTCCAGCTCTGCCGGGCAGTTCTCTTCCACCCCCTCCTCACCTCTGCTCTTCAGCTTGTCTGTACCAAGGATCCTCTGAGAAAAGAAGGAGATATTTATTTCAGCTTATTAAAACATCAGTTTATGGTACTCTTTGTCTGTGGTGGTTCCCAACACTTGAGGAGGAATCTTCAGAGACCATTACAGGAAGTTAAAGGATGTAAGTGAAGAAGAGCAGTGTTCAGGGACCAAGACAAGTGGGGGATGTTATGCTGAGAGAGGGTCAATGGAAGAAATGAAGCTGTTCTCCCATCATGCCGCCTGGAGAGTGCTAAAGTGGGATAAATCCCCATTTATCCCAACACATGGGTCTCCCAGCTCTGCACTTGCTGAGAGTCTCCAGGTTTCCTAATACTGCATGTTTCTAGAAAGTTTGACAGCCAGCCTCAAACAGATAAACTCACCTGGCTGTCAGGGTCATCCTTCAGAAAAGACATGTCGTCGCCTTCTTTTGCATCCCATCTGCCAAGATAAAACGAAGAATTTAGGCCCTCAAGTTCTCATATGGCAAAGCCACTCTCCCTGTCTGATGCCTTGGCGAGAATTTCTACTAGGGCCATCCGTTCTTTGTCAGAGCACCCTGACCAGGCAATAAGGGATAAAGGCGGCAGACAGAATAGGCCCAGTTCCTTCTCCTTGCACCTGCAAAGCACTCAGTGCAGCCAGAGACACTCATCTGAGACCACTAAATTTTAAACATAAGATCCAATTGCCAGAACAGACATTTGTTGTTAGAGTAATAAGATGTACCGGATGCTTATGCTGATGTCTGCCACAGTCTGATCTTGACTTCCTGACTGTCCCCAAGCTTCCCAGATCTCCACAATGGCAGACACGGAGGCAGAGGTGAAGGATAAAGTTGCTCGGTGGTAGCTTGGGACATCGGAGACATGGACGTGTGCAAGCAGACTGCAAGAATGGCCATAAGGGTCAGAGTGCAGGTCCAGCTAGTTCAGGCTCTCTCTTCCCACCAGTGTCACCTACACATGCTTAGGTAGAGTCTGAAAACAGGGCAAGTGTGCGTCTCTGGGACTTCCTGAGCCTGAGATAGTTATCTCTGTGTTGAGTCATGCTTAGTAGGCAGTCTCTTCCAAGGTTTTGCGTAAGTACATTTTGACCCCATAAAAATTTGCAGCAGCTACAACATCCTGTGCCAAAGAGGGCCACGGCTTAGCTAAATTCTGCCCAGGGAAGTGCTTTCTTCTGTGTATTTTGAATTTGCCAGGGTAAACATAAATCTGAATTTGCCCACGTAATGCTACTGGGCAGGGAGGTCTTAGTAACCCCTCCTTTCTCATATGTGTGCCAGGTGTTATATCACCAAAATAAGAAATACATAGATGGCAAAGGTATGTTAAAAGTGTAACTTGGCATTTATAGAGAGCAAGTGCATCCCCCACTACATTGGCATCTTGCAGTGCAGTGGCTGCAGTCACAGAAGAGAGAGATGAAAAAACGTGCAGAATTATTGCCTCGCTTTGCTAGGGATGAATGTCAGGACCTCCCAGGTCTCATTCAGCTTGTTTTCTGAAGGCTTTTCTGACAGACGGTGAGACAGTGGGCATGGTCACATTTTTTGTTACTGTATAGAACTGAGGGCATCATCTCTGGAATGATTTGGTAATATTTTTCCAAATATTGATAGCAAAAGGAGGATCATTTCTCCACATAGAGACCACATACCCTCAAAACACAATGTGCGCAAAGGAGCACGAGATTAAATTCTTCTCTAGAGCAACTCCGCTGGGCTCACTGGCCTCTTCGCTTGGTGAATTTGGGCTGAGATAAGAAAAATGAAAATACACATTGAGCTGACTGCAAAGTCAGGCATTTCCAAAGGCAAATGCACAGTTACAGTGACTGCATGTGCCCTTGTGAAAATTGTGTGAAAATTACTGTCACAGGCTCCACCTTACAAATGCATTAAGCTACTTCACACTGCCTTTTTAGCTGACAAAGTCCTTAAGGCAGAGGCGAATTACATTTGCAAGCACCGCAAGGCTCTCGTAGAGTATAGAGTCCGGTATAGTGTCCTTCATAAACCAGAGGGTCAAGCAGCTTGGAGCAGTCCTGTAAGGCTTAGAGACAGATTGTGACCCAGCACCCAAACAACAGCCAGCAAGGTCTTGTCCTGGATATGAGGCAGTCGTGGCTTGAGAAGCCCCTTATCTCCATCATTCCAGGTGCAGCTGAAAGTCACCACTAGATGCTCCAAATGGGGCTTATCACTGCTGTTGGATTGCTTGGACTTAAATGGGAGAGGAGACTTAGTGATAAAGCAAGTGGGAAAGAAGAATTCAGCACCCCAAAGGCATCCTGATCTGAGGTTTGAAATGAGATGAAAGGCTACAGGAATGGCTCTTCCTAAAGAGAAGCAGCAGAGCAAAGGATGCTCTTCCACACAAGATTACATGGCCTGACTGTCACTGGACACTTTCTAGATCAACAGAGGACACAGAAGGAACAATGAAGAGGAGACAAAGTCCATGAGGTGAGATGGATGGGCAGAGAGCAATTTTGAAGTGATCCTGGCAGGATGCAGGGGTTAGATAGCACTGAGAGATGTATCCATACTGTTGCAGACAAATATTTGGCTTCCTCATTTCCCTTAATTTTTCCAGTTCCATGGGGTGGAGGTGAGGACTTTGTCATGCTTCCATGGTCCAGCTACTCATGTCAGTACTGTTTAACGTATTTCTCTGTAGCTGAAAATGAACTATGACTTTCCATCTTACTGGCTGATAAATGTGAACTACTGAAACAACAAAGCAAGCATGAAAAAAATAAATTAAGAGTCCTTCTAGCCCCATTTCTAAAAGAGGATGTTCAGGAAGGAATATGAGGAATTGTTTCAGTGTGAGATAAATATGAGAAGAAGAAAATGAACAAGAATAAAGAACGTCTCTGTGAGGACAACAGTATGTAAGATTTTACGATTTCATCAGCAAGTATTTAGGCATCTAAACAGGATTCAAGCACTCAGGCACTTTTGAGTCTTAAAGCTTTTACATGGATGTCAATAATATCCTGATACAAACCTGACAGCCCTAGAGGAGTTAGATGCACTAAAATGCCTGCAAGCCTCTGCACTGCAGGCACAAACATGTACTGAAAACCATAAAACGACAGGCTGTGGAAGCCCATGACAAGTCAGGCTCCCTCTTTGAAATACATCCTTCCAGCCTCCTAACAGAAGCTGCTAAACCTCACTGTGTAATGCAGCTAGCTGACCTTCCCCTCTCCCCAGATAGAGAAAGGATCCCAGAAACAGCTGTTGCTTTAAACTGGTCCACATTGCTGGCATGACTTGGCTCTGATGGCTGCTTCGAGCGGGGATGTCTAAGGTACAAGAGATCTTAAGCCTGCTGGACTCCTTGCATAAATCCCCTGTTAATGGGGAGTCAAGGAAAGCAAGGAAATGATACCATGCAAGTACAGCAGGTAAAAGTGCTGATACCCACATACAACCCTACTCAGATTGAAATGATGTCCCTTGCCGCCAGTGGAGAGCAGTGACCAACCTGCACTCTGGAGAAGAAGAGGCAAACAGAGACTGCAGTGGGAAGAGACTCCACAGGCTGCTGCTGATGGGGCAGTTCAATGAGATGCCTGTCATATAGGTGCTCCAAGCCGGCCAGTCAGAGGCTGAGGCACTCGGTACAAAACATTAATCCCAGCCCTTCTTTATTTCCTTGAATTTCTGCCATAAGACAGCTAGCAAAGACAGCTAGCCGGTTCTGAGCATGGCTCTGAGCGTGCAGTGCAGAAGGAGAAAGAAAAGTCTCAAGACCCTGTCAGGATTTCTGGAAGGCAGTCAGCACCTCCCTGTCAAAAGCATGCTTTGGGGCCTAAGTCAGCCTTCACTGAGGAGAAGGAGAGATGATGGAGAGAGGGGAGCAGACAGGCTCTCAGCTCCTTCCCAGGGCCCAGCCTGGGCAAAGACAGAGCCTGAGGCAGGACCTGAGTGTGGGCATTTGGCCCGCGGGTTGTGGTGAGCAGATCAGAGCACAACATGATCCATCAGTCCACTCTGCCTATAAAAGGGAAGCAAACAAACTCTTTGTTCATTCCAAGAAGGCGCTCAAAATCAACACTGCTCTTTTGTTTACAGTGTACTCCTGATACACATTTAACTAACCATATAGCATCTAAATTGTAGGGCTAAAATGTCCACAGAGCAGAAAAAAGGCCTGCATTAGGATTAAACTTTAATATTAAAGATTAAACACTGGAAAGGCATGAGGCTTCTCATGTCATCAGATCATTCTAATGTCATCATCTTTTCTGAAATCTTTCCTTCTATTCTGCTGCTCGGAAGCAAAGACAAAGGCAGGCGAGGGCTGGGCCACATCCAGACACCTTAGCTCACCAACCCCATGCCCTACACACCTGATGCTCCCAGAAGGACCCAGAGGCACATGCCAGCTCTTGCTGTGGGACAAGCTGGGCCTAGCCAATGGTTGAAGACATGACTAGACTAGATATAACCAGAATAAACCAGACATCGCACCACTTGAAGCTCCTGGGGAAACCCCTTCTGCACCTTCCCACCTACCCAGGCCCCAAAGAGCAGCCAGCACTGAACCTGCACCGACAAGTGTCCCAAACCCTCAACCCCCGCAGTCTTTGGTGGAGTTTCTGGTGTAAGTTCCCAGCACCATCCTTCATGCACAATCCTAGCAAATAGTATAGGACTCTGGTTGAACGAGCCATGAGCTGAGCTGTGGATTTCACACACCCCCTTCCCATCCGCACATTTTCTCTCCCTCCAAAAAGCTTTCAAGTAAGACAGTCAGAAAAACAAAAGACTCGAGTAGGAAGGAGAGAGAAAGGAATAAAATGATCTCTGCAGTGGGTATAACTCACATTCCCAGCAAACATAGGCAGGGAAACCACAAATTTGCTTGTTCTGTGCAGTTTCTCCCTGCCCTTAGGAGCACTGAGCACATCTCCTGCCGTGAGACACAGTCTGCTCTGCAGCAGTAAGCTGTCCTGTGACCCCTTCTCAGCATGGAGGGGATGACACTAGATGTGCGTTTATTTTAAAGGAACAGATGGATCAAAGTCCAAAAAAAAAAAAAGGTGTCTCAGGAAACAGCATTCTCTGATTAGCTTTGGAGGATGCCTGGACAATTGACAATAACTGACCCAGTCAGGTTTAGCGAGGTGTAGAGATAGCAGTTCTGCTTTAGTAGCCTTCCATTTGAAACCAGTTTAGCCCAGAACTGGTGTGTGATTTCAGGAAAGCTGTGTACCATAGGAAGTGCTATATTTTAGAAAGGATGATGATCTAAAGTCCAGACTACTTGTGACTGTTAAAAATCTTACTATCAGTGTAGGGGACAGTGGTGTCTGTGCAACAGCTAACTGTGTTTTAATTTAAATTTAGTATCGGATGGATATATTTTTTTCCTCACTTCCTCTTCTTCAGTACAGCTCTTGAAATAATTCCTGTGCATTTATCACAAATAGCCAGATTTCAGCGGCAAACCTCATAACTAGAACCACACGTACTCCTGGGGGTAGTCGTTGAGGTCTGGGAGTTTGGTTTGGCCTTGAAGGGTTGGCATGTTCAGAAGAGGCAGCTCTGTGTGCAGTCACTGCATTTTCATGATCTTCAACAGCAATGTTCAAGCTGCAGTGTGATGCCTTCTAAGGGGCTCACGAAAGGTAACAACACAAAGCAAAGCTCTTGCCATTTCCATCCTGCACATCCTCTGGGGACTGCTGTAATACCCTAGTGCTGCAGTTGGCGGCTGAGGGAGAGTGAGCTAGAGCAGAGCTCATCACCTTTTCTTTCCAAAGCACGTGTTATTGGAAAGGACTTGAATATAACCTATAAATAAAGCTAACTTGATTATTTGCATGCTGTTGTTACTCTTCTTCAATAATTTATCAGAATGAAATTAAAATGCTATGATTAACTGACGGGGCTTAGGAGCACAGTAGATGAACCACCTTGACATTATAAGTAGATTGCCAACCCATAGTGTAACTAGCTGAGAGTTATAGCTGCTCAGGTATATTTCCCCAAAGTATAGCCGCTAATAAGAAAAGCAACACCAAAAAAAACAGCCAGGCTTCATACAGTGCAAGGCTGCGCACATTAGACCTACTACCGTCCTGATGCAGCAGCCTCCTGCATGCACAGACCCTGCCTAACACACTCTGTTTTCATTTCAGCCGAGGAACAGTAAACAGCACCAGCTCACCTCCAACCAGCTAATTCATTCTGGTGATGTTGTGAGTATCCCAGTGAGGTGTATATCTGTTTATGCATCTATTTAACTGCTTGGCCATAACTGACCTGGATGGTTGAAGAATGCTAACATTAAGAGCTACTGGAACAATCTTGTGTTCTTGGAAAATTAAGAGGCTTGGGGTATCTAATCAAGGCTGCATCCTTTTGTTGCCTGCTAAAGGGCACAGCAGCGCTGTGAAGACGATCGCTGTTATTAAACTGTTAGATAGTGTGACTCTGGGAACCCAGAGACTGCACTGAAATTTAATTACGGAGAGCAGCAAGGGAAGGGGACCCCTGGGAGGATGTGGGCGAACCTGTAAAATGCACTTACTTTTGCTGACATTCTGAAATTGCTTCTGTGAAAATTACTGTATTGCTGTGTGCTATCCACAGCTGGCAGGAATAGGCCATGTTCCTCCCTGCCAGGTTAAGGGTCTTTAAGAAGGGTTGTTTTTTGAGTGTTAGTGAGTCTCTGGGGACGTAAAATATCTCTACCACACTACCAGTCCTAATTACTATTGGTTCAGCTGCGAACCGTCTTTGGAGCCATTTCCCCCATATCAGCAGTGCCTAGAGGTCAGACAAGATGTGTTCAAAAAGCCTCCTGGGTCATGCGGCAGCGTAAACCAGATCCAGTTCGAGAGTAACCCCGACCCCCACACCAGGCTGTTCTGCAGTGGGTCGGTGCAGTGGCAATGCAGTCTGCAGGTGCCACAAACTCCACCAAGCGATGTCCTACCAGCCATGCTCCCAGCCAGGGCAGGCTCATCTGAGGGCATCAGCATCTCTCTCTCTCTCTGTGTCCCTCTTCACCCTCAGGCAAGGAACAAGCCCCAGAAATGCACGGCACAACCGCTAGTAAGTGGCTCTGCTGCCAGCCTCCTTACCTTCTGGCTCTGCCAGTCAGTCTGTCCTTTCCTTTGGCTCGGCTGCTCACAGCAGGTACTGCTCTGGGACCAGGATCGCTCACGTTCACACTGTGCTGTCCTCCACCTAGAAGTCAGGTTGGAAAAGCCATGCAGGAGCAGGCAGAGCTGGCTGATGGACCACTGAAAGGGCCAGCATCCTTTTATCACTGCAAAGTACCCTTGGAGGGAGGATTCTCTGAAGCTGTAGGCATACTGTAAATTTAGTTTCCACAGCGATAAATATAGAATGAGAATTTAAGGGTGTTTTTTCTGCATTTTTAAATCTGAATTTGAACTGTAATAGTAAATTTCATTCCTCAGACACAGTTTCCCCTGTGCTGTTCACGGGACATCCCTTACTGCAGAGCTTGCTCTCTGCTCTGCTTTTCAGCCCTTTCCCCTCCAGTTTTTCCCAATCTCTCCAGTTCCTGTGCATATCCCTTGGGAAACTGCCATTTCTATTTCAGCTCAACAATACTCGGTTACCATGCTGTCCACAAAAGACCCTTCTGGAAGCGCCAAACCCATTACGAAAAGCAGAAAGAAATATGGATATGAGAGAGAACTGTTGGGCCAACGTGGCTGGAAGTGCAAATGAATTCAGGTTTAGGTTGATTTCACCAGCTTGAGGGTTTGTGAGATCTCCTAATATAGTATGTCCTTAAAAGGCACTCCAAATTTGAGTGGCTGTGAGAGTGCCTGGAGAGAGCTGTCTCCATGAGAGTATATGGGAGGCTCTGACACTTAGCAGGGTGACGCAACAGTTCTGTGTTTTACTCACCTCTTCCTTCGGGAGGAAAGGACCTGTGCTGGAATTTCCTTGAGTTTCTTCCCCCTAAAAGAACAAAGCAAAGCATGCATGAAAGTGAGTGGGGTTCAGCAATGGATGTGCAGCAGAGAGCCTGGCACTAAAATAGGGTGACACAAGGGAAAGCTTTGTTCTGCCAGTCCATCTCCTGAGAAACAGGAGACATAATGGACTTATGTGAGTAAAGAAGCCAGCACGTGCCACAGCGATCAGAGATGATGTGCTCTGGAATAGGATTGCCTCTCAAACCAGTGTCTGGGAAAGGAGGCAGGGCTGAGCCTCCGTGTTATGTCACACAAGGTTACAGAAACCGTGCCACTGCTCTCCCTGGGAAGGTAAAAAGCACTAGCACCCGTATGCTCAAATCCCATCCCCTGAGCACTCTGCCAAACAGAGAGTGCTGAGACCCCAGCACTGCGCTCAGAGGCATTTGCCCAGGAAAGCAGAGTTTCACAGCTGACAGCCACGACAGCTGCTGTGGCACTCGATTCGCCCCATCAGCATTCACTAGCATCAGGACAGAATCTAGGTGTCCCTTGCCAACCTTTCTTATTGCTGGGATTATCCAAGGCTGGCTCCCCATCCTTAACAAAGTCCTCTTCAAACCTGCAGGTTAAAAACAGGCATTGTCAGACCTGACCGTTCTCCTCCAGGAGCAAAAGTGTGAGCAGGAGACCTCGAGACGCTGCAGGCTCCAGCCATCGGCTCTTCTGCACCTGCTCACTGGCAAACGTGTGGGTTTATCAGCAGGAGCTGAAACCACATGCACTAACCAGGAGAAATGAGGCTGTGAGGCAATTCTACCCCAAAGGAGAACTTCTAAAACCTTTGCATCAGTACCCACCTTTTTTTTTTTTTTTAATTTTATTCTATGAACACCTCTGAAACCTATAGATGCCTGTAGCATAAAGCTCAAGTGAAGCTTCACAAGCTTCTAAACATAACCTGAAGTAGCTTCAGGACTTGTCAACTCAAATCAGACCAATGGATCAGACTCGTTGGGTCGGTATCTAATCCTGCTTGTTCATATTATTGCTCTTCTCTTAAAGATGGATATATGGGGGAACAGTAGGGTTCAGGGTTGTCTTGCCAGCAGCACTCAGCACCCACTGAAGTCAATTCACCTCCAATTATCGGGGTCTCAGTGACTAAAATTCTCTATATTTAGTCTCATTCCTCAGCCAAAAGATTGTCCCATCTATCTGCCTTGTAGAACTCTTTTAGCCTGAGGGTCTTATCAGCAAACCTAGGTAACGTCCACTAAACCCTATCAAAACCCTATCCTGCCACAGGCACTGAGCCATCCTCTAAAGCTGTCTGGCCAGTGTGACCCTCCTGGACAAGTACGGCTAGAAGGACAGTGTTTAAAGCATGGAGATGCCAGACCCCATTGAGAGCTCTCCCACATTACTATCCCCAGCATTTCCCATGTATCGTAAAGGTGGACCTTTGAAGTGATCCCCTTGCACTGCAGCGCCCGAAAGGGCTGAGTTTATGAGGTCAGGAGGATTTATGTAATTTGGCCCTGCCTGAGACTGAAAAGGAGAAGCCTCCTCTGAGAAAGGCTGTGGAGAAGCTACATGAGTTTGTCCAGCCCTCCCTCTGGAAGAGTGCCTGTACTCTCCTGCCATGGGACTTGTCCAGGTGGAGATGACGACCCTCCAAGTACAACCTGAGCACTGGTTCGCACTCCCCTCCTTTGCTCCCTCAGAGTCCCCATAGGACCAAAGGCAGGCAGTCCTTATCTGCACAAAATATCTCCTATCAGGATAGGAGACCTCATGTTAGAAATAATAGACGAGGATAGCTCTGATATCTGGTTCCACTGAGAAATATGGTCAAGAGGAGAAAGAAATGGTGATACAGATTTGGTCAGGGAGAGGCAGATGACAGCATGCGATTTGATCAGCAATGCATATCTGCATAAGAGCCCGTCACTGGCTTCAGATGGCCTGTTGCAGACAAACCACTCCAGGGTGGTGGAGGACCTACATGTGCTCCGACTTCTCCACATCCCAAGCCCGCCGCCACTCGCCCTTCGCGTTCTTGTGACGTGCCAGTCGCTCCAGGTCAATCTGATCTCGTTCCCTCTTCCAGCGTATGTACTCTGAGCGCTCCCGCCCGGTCATGGGGTCTCCAGGGCTTTTCTGGGCTGACTTACCACCCTCCTAGTAGGGACAAAAGAGCTGTTTGTTAATGCAGTAGCGCTGGTCTGAAAACGTCTGCATTTAGTGTACTTGACGGGCACCATTGGAAATGCTCAGTACTATTTGAAGTCACCTTGGAACAAGATTGGGTTCTCTCTCTGTGAAATGATGTGCACACAGAAGGGCTCTACTTTACCCATAGCCTAAATATGCTGACCCAGGCCTGATAACATTTTCTTTATTTTAGAGAAGGAAATTGAGGAAGGAGGAAGCTATATGGCTTGCTTGGAGCTGCATTGTAAGTCCAGAAGTAGCAACTATTCCCATCCAGGGATATTCAAAAATGATAACAATAACTAGCGGAATAACTGTTCCACTTCTTCCAGACTAATGTAGATAGCATTACAATTCTAATGCTTAAAATTCCTTCCACTTAAAATCCTGGATTTTGCCGTCTAGATATATTCCTGTAGCCTTAACGAGACAAGGCTTTACCACTGTTTCTATGACCTGAACTGCAATGTTTCTTTGGTTCCTGCAACAACAAATAACCTCCTGATCTAGGGAGCAGCCACCATGGGATGTAACTTTTCATTCTAGATATTCATTCTAGACGTGCTTAAACATGCCCCTGTAATTCTGTGTGCAAATGGCTAAAGCCACGTGCTTTCCTGCTTGATTCATCCCATGTGTACTTGCAGTTGTTGTAACTGCAGGTATAAATTAGGCAGCAGGCTTTCATTTCTTGTGTTCCCACTTGCCTGAAGGTTTTAAAACCAAACCTTCTCAGTTTTTTCCTGGAAAAGGCACTCTGCCAAGGTCTAGTTAGGGCATATAGTTAGTTCCTGGAGCGCTTGCAACATTTGCCAACAGTTTCTGAGGAGCTGAACTCTTATAGAAGATGCATTGGGCTGATGAATACCCACTCGAAGTCTCTGGGATACCTAAATCAAGGCTACGCCTATGAGCTTCATCACTCTGACAGAACTGAGATGGAAGACAGTTTTTTGCGACCACCAGGCATTCACAGGAGCCTGCGGTCAGAGGATTGGGGCCAGCCCCATGCCGGGGGCATGCAGTACCCGAGCATCAAGGGCATATGTTGTAGCAGCAGCCTCGGAGTGACGGGGCTCTTCACCTTCACTGCTTTCAGTTTCTTGGTTTATCACTCCACCTCCTGATAGACTGCTTAAGAGCTGCTGTTGTTTGAGCATTTAAAAGCTTAAGGAAGGGACAGCTTAGAGCTGATGGAGCGCGTGAAGAAGGAGAGGAGGGTAAGACAGCCATCAAGTTAATGGACTCCAGTAGAACAAGAAGCCAGCTGGCCAAGGTGTGTTGTCAAGTAACATGGCATAGTGAATAGCTTAGCAGAGAGCAGAGTCCCAGGGTGTTAATTATCAGTGGATAATTTATCACTTCATAAACGTGCCCTTCCATGCCATCCACCCCCACCCCTTCCCCACATGGGAATTAATTTTTTGCGTTGCACTGCCAATCAAAGCAAAGCGACAGGGAAGGAGAGACTGAAAGCCCTGTTGCCAAGGAGACCCACCTGCGTGGGCCGGAGTCAGGGCAGCAGTAATTGCTCCCCCATTTTTTACCCAGCAGGAGCTGAGGACCTGAAACTACATCCTTAAGAAGGAAGAGATGGGGCCGAAAACAGGCAGGGAAGACAAACTAGGCACTCCCTCCAGGGCAAAGCGAAGGCAAGTGCTGGTCCTGCTATGCCTGCTTTCCATGGGTGGAGGTGCAGGTCCAGAGATGCTCCCGATGGCTACAAGCCCCACAGCACAGCAAGGTTGGGGCACAAGTCCAGCGCTTGGGTAGCAGGAGCAGCATGCGCCATGTGCAGCAAGTGTACATCCTTGGTTCACTTAGTGCACTGCTGCGGCCAGCCGTCCTCCCTGAATACACCCCCACCTTGGGCAGCAATTGATGGTCATGCCGTGATGGGTCCTGATGCACGCCAAGGGGAAGCGGGCAAGAGCTGAGCAACCTATGGCTAGCCAAAGCCTCAGCCAGGTTCAACTTCTGGAGTCAGAGGGGAAAGGAAGAGCCCTGGGCCATTGCCATGACCCTAAGCAAAGGGGAAGCCAAAAGCAGGAGAAAGATCAAGGTTGGGCTGCATGCAGGCAGCACGGATCTCTCCAGGAGCTTGCAGGGAGATGGGGATGGAGCTGTGGTGCCTGTCAAGCAGGTAGAACTATTACCTGGTAGGGGGCTCATCTCCATTGGGGTGCAGCTGTGGTGAGCCAGACCACAAGGCCATTTATCTTATCTTATCTTATCTTATCTTATCTTGCCTTGCTTTGCCTTGCCCTGCTCTGAGGGGCTCAGCTAGCATTCATGTTTAAGAGCCCATCTGCATCCTGCTAATGAATCGCACCAGGGTGGGGCTATTCAATTTGTGCTCCATTAATTAAGAGTGTCTGCTGGCTCAGGGGAGCCAGCATGTCCTCCAGGGTTTGCATTAAATAGTCAGTGGGAAGGCCCGTGCTTTAATTTACCTCCATCCTACCCAGCTTCTGCTGAAGTGAGGAGCTATAGCTAATATGGCCTGAGCCTTTCAACCTGTAAGCAAAGGTTTTTAGGTGAGAAAACAGCTAGGCTGCTTTCTGTGCTATTTGCTACGTGGGTGAGCATGTTTCTTGATGTTCTCCCATGCTGGGCTAGGGATGTAAGGAGCCCTGACAAGGCATGAAGGGCAGGTACGTGCTGCTGAGGCTGGCTTTCCAGCCCTGCTCTGCTTCGAGTGCATTAGTTGCTCAGCAAAGCCTTGTATGAGAAGAGGGATGAATGCTGGTGACTGTGACAGCATGTGTTGCAACTTGCTTTAGCAATGATGCAATCTCTACTGATGAGCAGGCACATCCTGCAGGTTTCCTCTTCCAAGACCCCACTGCACAAGATGAAGGTAATGTAGCATGGAGAAGATTCTTGCCCTGATGGATGGGAAAAGGGTGCTAAACCAAGTAAGTCTTTCCTGTTTCTGAACTCTACCTTATAAACAAAGTTGCCCCCAATTTGCAGAGGTTGGGATGGTTGCACAGCTTGGGGGAAGTGGGAGGAGAAAGGGGAGAGCATAAATGAGGAAACCAGGGAGAACACCTATGCACCAGCCAGTACTGCAGGAATTGGCCAAACTTTGATTAGACATGATCCCCTCAACAGCTGAGCACCCAAACCCCCATGAATGTTTAGGTAGTTTTGGCTGTCATCCCTCTGACACCCATGCTCCCCATAGTCTGAGGTGACCCCATTCCCTGTGGCGGCCCCACAAAGGGATGTCAGCCCCACTCACCTTCCGGCCATGATCGCTTTCCAGACCCCTGTCACTCTCTGATCTCCTCTTCTCTGCTGTTCTGTCTTCTGCCTGCAAGAGCATGGCCACAGGAATTATTTCAAGGATTAAGCAAGGACTCTTGGCTGGGGAGTCAGTGCCCACCCCTGCGCCCATCAGCAGGTGCAAGAGCTGACCAGAAAAGGTCAGCAAGAGAGGAGAGATTGGTTCTGAGTGTCCTGAATCAAACTGATATGGGGAAAAAAAAAAGGCTAGAGAGCAAGGGATGTAAGGAGAAAAGCCAGAAAAAGGGGTACTTTCCCACAGGTCCCTCCATCTCTGCAAGCAGGAAGCAGAGAGCTGATTTATAATAGTCTCCTTAGTTTTAAAAGCAGATGGAGTTTTAGGTACCTTTGTAGACTTGGGCCAAAGGCCCAGCTCACAATTCAACTATACAGCAGCTGGGAGCTGCCTAAGATGTAGCTAACCCACCCCCGGTAAAGGTGGGAGTGATTTTTGTCCCTATAAAACACCAGGCTCCATCTCTACTTCCACTGGCTTTAGTCATGCTGCAACCACATTGGCAGCATCTGCTCTAGTGTTGATATCCCCCTGCCCGGCAGAAAGTGAAAATTAGCCTCTCTTTGTCTTAATGAGCTACTGATACTAAATATGAGGCATATGACAGTCCAGGCAGTTCTCTGCCCCTATCTGGGATTGATAATACTGCCACAGATGCAGCCCTGGCCAAGGCTGGGTTGGGGTCATGGTAGGTCTTAGCAAAACACATTCTGCAGCGTATCAAGATTTTTCTAAGAAAGGCTTCCTACCTCAGTTAAATAACATTGGGGGGTGCCACAGGGAGGGTTGCTCCCCATTGCAATGCTAGAATAAGACTGAGGGAAGGGTACCGGCCTGCCCCCCTTGCTGCCAAGCCCCTCTGTCTGTCCGCTGCTTGGGACAGAGGGACCTGTGCTTAGTGTGCACCTCCGTGAGCAGCTCCTGCTCCCATCCGGATGCTGCTGTAGCACGTGATGTTGCAGCACAGCGGCTGCCAAGTGGCACAGCATTTATCACGGCCCACCCCCCCTAAGCTCCCCTCGCTGCCGGAGCATGCCAGGGCGGGGGGAGGGGGGGGAGGAGGGGGGGCACATGGGCCTGAGATTATCGAGCCGCTGTTTTGTGCAGCCAGGCAAAACAGAAACACAAAGAGGAAAAGTGCAGCGCAAACTGCCAGCTCAGCCATTCGAGAAAGCGTGAGCGCTATGAGGTCTGACCCGAGCTGGAAACAGGACTTTTATCCCAGCTATCTGCCAGCCCTTGACTGAGCCCAGAATGACAGTGCTGGATACTGGAGACTCGGCACACCAGCCTAGAAGCAGACCCTGTGTGCCCAGGTGACTGGGCCCCCCTGCAGCCTGTTCCCGCATACCCCTTGGAGGCAGGCAGGGGCGAGCTGTGGTCTGGACCAACTCTCCTTCTAGCAGCAGGCAGGTGTTTTGGGGCCATGCACGTGCACTAAGTCTGAGGCGTGTGGAAACTGTGACCATATGGCTCAGGGACACCGCACTCAGCGTGCGACAACCTTGCTGGTTTTGCTGGTGTGGGAGCAGTATAGGTGGATGCTCGTGTAAGCAGATGGGGGGCATCGCCTGGGGAAGATATTAGGTACATGGTCCCAGGATTTCTCAGCACAGATTTGGGAAAAAATTCAAAGACTGTGCCCAGAGAAGCCATTCCAGGTTTTGCAATGGACACAGTGAAAGACAGTGGTGGGTATTCATTTAACAAGATTGCTGTGAATACTTATAGTCTCAAAAATACTCACTCCAGGCTTGAAGTCAACTCCTTCATAAAGCCCTGGAGTCTGGAAACTGGGGATCCAACTGGCATCTGCAGCCCAAGCTGAGACATTGTGTATATAGCGAGATTAAAACAGTGGAAGCTTTGCTTATTTGAGGAGGCTGACTGGGGAGCAAGGTACAGATGGATGCTCAGCTTTTGGAGCAGCTGTAAGAGAAACTGGCTGTTTTAGGAAGAGTACAAAAGAGCCAGCTGCTGCAGAAGACCTGGAGCCGCTCTGTCCCTGCAGGAAAGCTTTGTGTGGGAGGAGAGAAGGAGCACTGATTGCCTAGAAGATGCCAAAGATAGCCCCAAACTGACGGGGAAACTGAGGCAGGCAGCTGTGAGCCTGTGCTTTGATGTGCACCGCATGTCCCCAGGAAACCATACAACTCTGCATCCTTTCATACCTCCACAGGCAAAGCCAGGCTGCCTTTCTCCTTAGCCTGTTTCTATTCTGGTGGATATGTTGAAAATAAAGAGAAAAAAAAAAAAAAAAAAAAAAAAACACAAATCTGGTTCTCTTCACCAGGGAAGCAGATTTGAACTATGCAGTTAAGAAAACATGGTTAGCTTTGTTTTCGCGCTGGCTCAAGAGCAGATTTTCGCATTTGCTCTGCACTGCCCCGGATTTGCTGTTAGCGTGTTACGACACACCCAGACCACAGGGAAGCAAAACATGTTTTTCTCCTCCTTCCTCCTCTCCACCCCCAAAATTATGAAATATGACAATGGTATTATCATCTCACAGTTTAACTGTTCCTGCACACCAGGGGAAGAGATTTCAGGAGGGAACAAAGGCCCAAAGGAGACTGGGAAGATTACATTTGTTTATCCCGAGGTTTATGCAAGGTTTTCTCCATTTCTCAGCCATAGAACGCGCTTGGGCTGGAGCCTGCTGTCAACTAGGATGCGGTCCCAGGATCTCAGCTGCTCTCTGATGCTGCGTTTGTCCGAGCTCCCGATGCACATGCACCCAGCTAACGTTAATGTGTAAGGGTGACAATGGTGATGCTATGTCTTGTCACATCAAGCACTGGTTTGTACTAACACACCTCCAAACCAAAAGTTTTGACAGGCTTTGAGGTCCCTGGGCTATGTTATTGTGTTCTTATTTTTAAAAATAAGGGCCAAGAGATGTGTTTTATTGCCCTTCTGGTACCCACCTCTCTGAGTACGTGTGGGTACCAGAATCAGCACTCCTTCTGCAACAGGGGCTTTTCCAAAGAGCTTGGAACTGGTTTTCCAGGGCTCAAATCTCCAACTGGGCAGCATTTTTTAAAAACTTGCTCAGTACAGGAGATGATTTCTTTTTTCCAGGTCTTTTGAAAAATCTGCCTACTAATTGGGATGCCTGAAGTGAGCTAAAGGCTTTTCAGACACCCTTTCTGCCTATCTCCTCTCGCAGCAGCAGTGTGAAAGCAAAGTGTTTCTCCTGCCGCAAGGAGTTTGGTTTCTCTCCCCTGCAAGTAGGGGGGTCAGATTCATCCGCATATGTTCATGAGCACAGTTCTTGTGCCTCTTGATTACAAATAGTTATTTTTGATATGCCATCCTGGGAAACAATGTTAATAAAAATGACAACTTAAAAGCCCTGAAGCAATATCAACTGTTCATTTAAAAGACGATTTGCAACCTGCTAATTAACCATTGTGCTCCACTGGCCCTGGGCTGCCAGCTCGCAGCGCTAATGATCCTGAAACCCTGCCAGAGCATGGAGTAACCGGTTTTTTAGGAAAACGAGTGCTAGGCATTTGGCATTATCCCCAGCTCTGCTTGAGGTGAAAACCCTGATGCAGGCAGATTTAGGGAGACCCAGGCAGAGAGGGGAAGAAGGGATCCAGATGTTGCATCTCCAAGCCAGCTATGCACTGGGGGGGTCAGGTAGTTGCACTGGTAGAGCAATATGCTCAGGCTAATTTATTCTGCAGAGAGAGTGGCTCCCCCCCCACCCCCACCATACCCTTGTGCTATCTTCTGCTCATATCCCCACACAGCGCTGTTCCTTGCTGTACAGCTCTGCCCCCTGGGACCCAAATTCCTGACAGCCCTAAAACAAGAAGGTACAGTTTGGCCTTTGGTTAAGGAGACTATAAAGCAATGAAGATTTACGGGACAGGTTCACCTCGCCTAACTCTAGGCTGCTGTTGCCTTCTGAAGTGGGGGAATACAGCAGGTTGGGGAAAGATCAAGGTAGCCACATGGGACAGCAAAATATTTGCAGGAAACACATAAACCTCCTCCTAATGTACAGCCTGTGCTGCTGGCCTTGAGATCTGAGAGCAGCATCCCACAGTGGCTGGAGGCCAGAAAAGAGCAACATGTCTCGCCATCTCCCAGCTGGGTACCAGAGCCCTTGAGACAGCTACAACCCTCTTCCGGGCATCGAAACAAAGGCTGAGCAGTGCCTCCCTCTGTCACAAGAAATCATCTTTCAACACATAGATGCCTGGGTAATATAAGGTACTGGGGCTGTTTTGGAAAGGAAAAATGTGAAAATAGCTTTTTGTCTTGCAGTTCCGCTTTGGCAGCCTCCCCCACTGCTGTGTGCTGCCAGCTGTGATGTGGTCTGGGGCTGACAGCGTGGTGCTAGGCAGGAGCACCACGGGTAGCAAGAATGGGAGTCATTTTTTTGTTATTCTTCTTCTTTGTATTGAATTTTTTCTCGATTAAAAATAGAGAAAAATGTGGAATAATGAGGATGTTCTTCATATGCTTTCAGAGTAAATTTGGCAAGTGTGGGGAGGAGGAAGTAGATTTGACAGCAGCTGGGATGATGGATGTGATCCCTTCTCCTAGGCACCGCAGGCCTCCATGGGAGGGACAACAAAAATAATCCAGAACAAGCAGGGAACCAGATGGGGCATAGGGAGGAAACACCCAAAGGCCGGACTGCGTGCAGGTGATGGAGGAGGTTGAAAGCTAATCCTTGTTGGACTGAATCAGAGTCTCAACTCGGGTCCTAACAAAAGGCTACTCAGATGACACTGCTGATGCCCCACCAGAGGGTCTCACAGTAGCTGATCTGTTTGGAGATAAAAGTGACATTTCTCTTAGGGATTAAGAATTAATTACAGGATAGAAAACAAAACGTGGAAAGAAAAGGCCAACTTCCATGTTAGAAGGTTACCAGAGGAGCGCCACTGGAACATGTGCTGCCCAACATGTTCATATATAGGCTTGAGGAGCTGAAGAGAGAGATGACAGTTTGCTGATGATATTAAATCATCCAGGGCAAACAACAAAATTTGCCAGGAAAGAGCTGCAAAAGATCTCTTGACATTGAATGCCTACATCATAGAATTACAGATGAAATTCATTATCAATAATATAAAATAATTCACATGGGGAAAAATGACCCTTCTTATTATCTACACATGGTGATGAGGTCTGAACTATGATTACCCCTCAGGAATGAAATCTTGGTGTTATTGTGACAGGTTCTCTGAAAATGTTAGCTCAGTTCTTTAGAAAAAAAAGTAAAATTGTTAGGAGAATAATAGAGAACAAGCCAGAAATGCCATTACGTCACTGACTATGTCCATAATGAGCCCACATCTTGAATACTTTGTACACTTCTGGTCCTTTTGTATTAAAAGGATATTGGAAAAGTAAAAAAAAAAAAATACAAACAAGGGCAATGAGAGTGATAAAAATACAGAGTTGCTTCTGCACCAGACATGACTAACTAGCGTACAACTCGCAAGCCTGCAGAAGAGATGGCTGAAGGGAGATGTGAGATGGGTCGATGAAATCATATGCTTTGGGAAAGTGAAGAGGGGATGATCTCTTCACTGCTTCCCATGATGCAGAAGCAGAAATGGCCTTATCTGGTAACAAGTTTGAAGAAAAAGAAGGGAAATAGGTTTCCGCACAACGTGTAACATAACAGTGCAGCTCCCGCTGGAGGATTTTGTGGCGGATAAAGTTTAGATGGAGTCAAAAAATGCTCTCCTCCATCCTACGTGGCAGCATGGCCCCCAGAGACCCCTCACTGCAGTGCTGGGTGGCTCGGTGTTGCTCATGTGCTTGTTGTCACTATAGCTAGGAAGGCAGAAGCATGCTTTAACCCTGTCTAACTGGGGAGGAACTGGAGCCTTGAAACACACAGAATCAGGGCTGCCAGGGTTTGTGGGTGCTGTGATCCTAACAGCCCTGGTGGGATTTGTGTACTCACAGAGCATGCAGAGCCCTCTGGCTCCCAGATCAGCACCCAAAACACAGCATCACCCTCTCCAACTATACCAGCGTTTTCCTCTGAATTTTCTGGCAGGCCGCTTGCCTGCCCTATGCCTCCATTTCCAAAATGGGTTAGTGTATTCAACAACCCTGTGACACACTCTGAGTTCTGCAGGCCAAAATTATTTAATAAAATAATTTTATATATTTTTGCATTTCTAATTCTGATCTACTCTCTGCATTACAGAGTCTCCTAGTGCCCCTTGGAGGCACACATTGCGCTGAGGTAGAGTAGGTGGGACAGACTTGCTGGATTTCTATTTCTCAAGCCCAACCACTACCAGAAAATGGAAGCACTTGTTTAAAATGTTCAGTCTTAACTCAGCTTAGAAACAACTGAAGTGACAGGCTGGGCCAGACCAAATCTCCCTGAACTCAACTAGCCCAAGTTGGCATGATGTGTGAGATGCCAACGTGAGCTGTCACTTTAGGCCCATCTGCTTCTGTCACTGATCCTGGGAAAAGGTTGACTGCTGATGGAAGAAACTAGCCTTGTCCTTTTGGCTTCGAGAGGTGACTGTGAAACCCTTCCATTTAACCCTCTCACAGCCACATCCCTTGAATCACATGGGCGCTACCTGCAAGCCGGTTTCCGGACTGGCCGTTACTTTTTAACATTACCTTTGTACTGCCCTGTCTGTTGTAGCTGTCTGTGGTCTGAAGCTACACAATTAAAATATTATGAAGAAGGTACGTTCATTATCTGAGGCTGGAACAGGGCCTGCTCAGCACAGGGAAATCACTGGGAACAAGGAAATGTGAGCTCAGCTGGAATCTGAGATAGATCTATCTGGTAACGAGTATTGGAAACTAGAATTTCAAAAACACAGCTTTATATCTCTTTCTAAATTATAAGAGGAATCCAAATAACAACAACAGCTATTCCCACAAAAAGGGCTTATTAGCATGACTCTGTTGCCCCTCCATTTCTTGGCCCTGTGAAGTAGGCTTAGTGGCAAACCCTGCGCTTGCTCCCTGCCTCCTGTGCGGGCTGGGAGAGCGCATGGTCCTGAAAGCACCCTGCAAAGTACCCCGCAAAACTCCTCTTCTGCTCTCTGTGACCTTCTGAGAGGCTGGGAGAGGTATGTTTCAAGGCTCAACAAGAGAAAGCAGAGGCTAGTTTTTTGTGACAGCAAGAAGCATGATGCTGCTGTTAAATGGATCTCGCCAGCAACTTTACTCCAAGGCCACTGGTAAGCCAGGCTATCAGCCCAGCCAGAAGGCCAGTGTGATCAAGCAACATCATTCTTTCTTTTCAATCTTAAATAATGCTGAGGGCATGCTGAGGGCTCCTTCATGGAGTTGTTCAATATTTAGACTTGTATCAAACTTTTGTGGCTTTTCCATGCACCTGAGAGATTCTTCTCTTGCTCAACCACACCTTGATGGCACCAAGTGACTGTGCAACCCCTCTCCCAGCAGATGTCAGCACCCACCAGCCTTCATGCAGCACCCAACAGGCCTCCCTCACAGCCTAGCATTTCCAGCAGAATGCCTGAGCTTTAGTCTTACCCATTGCCAGCTGTGTGACTGGATTTGGATTAAGGAAAAAAACCAAAAATAATCAGACCTAAAATGAACTTTGGTAGCTAAGGAGGAGGAGCACCAAGTTGTTTGCATTCCTGGGGATTATCAGGCTTATGTTCTAGCCTGTGGCTCAAGGGATAAGGAGAGGAGGGATGACAGAGCTACATGAGTGCTTTGCACTCTCATACTAAGGTAATTTGGTTCGTTAGGGATGAACCCATATACGAATGAGCTTAAATGAATGGCAGCTCAGTGGGACCTGCAAGTAGCAGGAAAAAGACCTAAACTGTCAAGCTGTGCTGAATCAGCAAAATCAAATCTGCCGGGCATTAGGGGCATCACACCCTCCTCACTAGTCTACAGCTCCAAGCATCAGGTCTTCAATGGTTCGTGCAGAAATCTGAAATCTCAGTCTCTAATTTCATGTTCCATACTAAAAGTATATCAGATATTACCTTTTCCAGGACTGTATATACATTTTTAAAACAAGGCTCAGGAGCTGAGGCCAAAATATAGGCAATCCACCTGGTGCTCTTTCCTTGCACAGTCCCAGCTTTGATGGCCTCAAAGCTAAGTGACAAGCCCAGCAAGAGCAGCAGTGGAGAGAGTTGTCCTGCACATCACGGAGTTACATTTGGCAGCGCTGGCTGAGCTATCAAGAATAGCTATAGCACAGGCATGGTTAGGTCACCCTCCTTCCCGCCTTTGCATCTAGATGTACCCATAATGCCTCAGCTGAACCAGGTGACAGCTGCCATGTGAACCCCTGGGGGATACGTATTCACTAGTGGCTTGATTGGCTGGCTGATACGAGGTTTATGTCCTTAAAGAAGTCCTTGGGAGCCATGACAAAAGGGCTTCCAGAGCATACTTAAACTCTGATGAGGAGGAGAAGCTGAAGATTAACGTGGGCAACTAGCAGATGCTTGGCTGCTGTCCCAGAGAGGGTGCTGCACAGGTTTCCTGGCA